ATATATATTAAAAACCGCTCCCAGTTATATATCTTTTCATATTACAATGCAGTCATATTCTTAGTTTGCTCTCACCCAAACTTCTCATGCAGTTACACTTTAATATGAAAAGAAATGTTGTCAAGAGTAGTTATTATCACACATCAGAATATTGTATTAGCATTCACTTTTAATAGATTAAAATGAAAGATTTTGAAATCTGCCCTTAGTGATACTGAAGGATCTTGGAGACACATTGGGAAAGCTTTAGATGAAATGTCATATGATATATATACATCATACATAGGTTCATAAAAGACAGTTCATTTAACTGCCTGCCTTTGTGTTTTGTCTATTCTGTTTGGATGAATCATCCACAGGTTAAGTGATGCTTGTGCAGTTTCTTTGCTTGAAATCAAGCACAGTAAGTGGCAGGGAAGTTTAGGGAATACAAGGTTCTTGTAGACCTGGGGGTGATGAGTAAAATAAGACCATTTTGGAGGCATGGAGTATAACCTGGAATAAAAATCTGGTGGTTGGAGTCATCTTTGGGTTGTATCTGCTGATCTTTTGACTCACTGTCTGATCCAGATAGGTTGATTGAACTGCTGTTCATTAATCACCTCACTTGTAAAGCTGAATTCAAGGTGGGTGTAGCATGAGTTAAGCTGTCCTGGAGGAGAGCTGTTGAGAGATGCCATGCTGCAGAGCCTGCATGTTACAAAGCAGTGTATAAAAAGGTGAAATGATTCAATATTCATTTATGGGGTCGTTGTGGTTTATCCCCAGCGAGCAACTAAGCACCACGAAGCCACTCACTCACTCCCCCTCCACCCAGTGGGATGGGGGAGAAAATCAGGAAAAGAAGTAAAACTCCTGGGTTGAGATAAGAACCCAGGTTTAATAGAACAGAAAAGAAGAAACTAATAATGATCATGATAACACTAATAAAATGACAACAGTAGTAATAAGAGGATTGAAATGTACAAATGATGCGCAGGGCAATTGCTCACCACCCACCGACCGACACCCAGCCAGTCCCCGAGCTGCAATTCCCTGCCCCCCCCTTCCCAGTTCCTAAACTAGATGGGACATCACATGGTATGGAATACACTGTTGGCCAGTTTGGGTCAGCTGCCCTGTCTGGGCATGAGAGGCTGAAAAATCCTTGACTATAGTCTAAACACTACTGAGCAACAACTGAAAACTACTACTGAGCAACAACTGAAAACATCAGTGTGTTATCAACATTCTTCACATACTGAACTCAAAACATAGCACTGTACCAGCTACTAGGAAGACAGTTAACTCTATCCCAGCTGAAACCAGGACAGGGGTTTAGGGGCTTGTTTTGGAAGCTTCTGAAATGCATGGGAAGAAACAAGAGTAGAACCTTCCAGTTGATCAAATCATTGGCATTTTTTTCTCAGTTTATTGTTGCAATGTGGGATGGTCACATTTGGGCAAGATACAATGATGTGCTGCATCAGTGTCTCTGAACTTCTTGTTATTGAAGGCTTGTTATTGAAGCCCTTTTTTTGGCGGGGGTGGGATGTATAAGTCATCTGTATTCCACACTTCTTTGGTAGTTGGGAAAGACGATGAATAAACAATTCAGCATTGAAGTAAACATTCTGTTTTATTTTGGTATACAAAAATCATAATTTCACTCTTTTATAAACATTTCAGTAAACATTGAGAACGTGAAGGACGCATGCCTGAGAATACCTGCTGTAGGAATTGCATGTGTATATGCTTTGTCATTTGAGTTTACAGGTGGTTTTCAGTCTCACATCTGAAGTCTTAGGAGCTGCCAAGAAGCCATGCACCATGCTGTACTAGACTGAGGGCAGATAATAATTTATATAGCTGTAAATGTAGTACAAATACTAACATGACAACAGTGTTAGTGTCAGCTAATACATTACAGTCTGCATCCTGCAAATATAAACACTGCAAAAATACACATTGCATCAAATCTTATTGAACTCTACCACCTATTACACAACATCTTCCACACACTTCTAACAAGCAGATGCTAAATATTGCAGTGACTAAACTCCATGTTTCAATATTGAAGAGATTAAGTAATAAATCAAACAGCTGCTAGGTATTTTTAGATGTTAACGGTCCCTCAGATTTTACAGACATTATGCATCAATATATTTTTCTGAGAACTTACCCTAACAAATGAATCCAAAATGTTGCGGAAGGTCATTTCTCATTTAAGGCCAAGTCAAAAGGCCAGGAAGTTTAACTTTATGTATACTTTTGGATTTTGGTTTCGTTGATACATGCTCACACTAAGCCCACAGACCATGGTAGAACAAAAGCATTTCAGAGCTAACTAGAGGGCCACAAGCAATGAACAGGAAAGGCTGAGACCCAAGATCCTATCAATGCCGGAGGCACCACTAGCAGCAAGGCCCTGATCAGGTAGGCAGATGATCCAAGAACAACACACAGAATGATGAAATTTTTCAGGATTCATGGAAAAATACCTTAGGGAGATTTTTCTGTGAATGCAGATTTGGTGATTGTAAACTTGGGAGCAAGGACAGATGAACAAACATCCAGAAGAGGGAGTTATCTAAAAGACTAGTATACTTCATGAAGATTCTTAAGTCACAGACTCAGGCATTATGGAAGGCAAAATAAATTGAAATAACGCTTGATTTTATCTAGCCAGTATGCAGAAAGGGAAAGAAATTTCTTCATATTCATTGCAACTAAACACATGCAACATAGTGTTTGAATTATAACAATGCTTGCAATGTAGTGCAGCAAACATATGAAGACAGTGAGGGAAATTCAAAATAGGAGACTTAAGGAATCATGGTTTCCGGGGCAGATAGGACTACCATAACCAGACAGTGTAACTATCTTGTCTGTAGGATTTCTTATAAATATGATATGGAATGCATCTTTTCTGAAAAAAGATATCTAACTTCATTTTAAAATGTCTAAGAAATGATGAGTTTGCTGTTGACATAATGCTTAATTATCTTCTAAAGTAGGAACTTGTATCTTATTTCAGGACTGAATTTCTATAACTCCCATTTCTCAACACTAGATCTCATTATACCACTGTCAGGAAGGCTGACATCTTGCTATCAGATATCTTTCCAGGGTGTAAGTACCAATCACAGTGATCAAGGCACCTTTCAGCCTTTCGTCTGACAAGCTGTATAAGTTGAGTTCCTGTAGGCCTTGCAATGGGGCGCTTGGTTTCCAACTGCAGGCTGTGAAATCTCTCTTCAGAATTTCACCTGTTCATCTGAGCAGAAGAAACAATGCATTTTTTCCACTGTGCAAACAATCCAGATGCTAAAAAATTTTCTCCAACACTCTACTTTGAATGCTAATAAATAAGAACATTCTTGAATGAGAAAGCTGAAAGAAATGGCAAGAGCAAACAAGAAACAATAAAGGAACAACCATCGATCCCTATTTTTATGATCTAATCCAACTATCTCTATTCCATCAAACTTTGGAAATACTCTATTCCCTATGGCAGATCTGTGCCTGTGGCATAATCCTTTCCCTCCCATGAAACTAGGACTTCTGACAGATAGGGTGTGACTATCTATTAAATAGGTCTGGCCAGGACGGGCAGACCTTCAGCTGCTGTGCCAGGAGCTGGCACTTGTTCATTTCTACTGCTGCTGTTACAAGCCTTGTAGCCTCTGGCAGAGGAGGATGAACAGCTGGAAGCCAAAACCTTTTCAGCCACCTCAGCAAAAATTGGTAGAGCTATCTGCCAAAGCCACAGTTTGACTTTGCCGCCCTGTTCTAGTTGAGTATAATGCACCTTGCAGATAGGATATCCCGAGAAGCCTAGCACGAATCAAGCAATGTCCATGGACTTTTTCACTGACACCTTCTGCAGGAGCAGAGCAAGCTCAGTAGTGGGGACTTTTTAAAAAAGCCACCACATCATCAGAAATAATGGCTCATGTCCAAAATATGTCACTCTAAGCATTCACAGAAGGGGTCAGGTGAAAGTTATTTCAAACAGACCTCATAACAGCTGGAAATTTGTGGTTGATGACTGGGCATGGGGATTCCTGCTGTTGTTCATTTCTACTTGAAAGGTTTGGAAAGATTTTTCCTACCTTCTGAGTGGACACTGGGGCTATAGTTGCCCTGTTGGCACTGCCACTTGAGCGGCATGACAAGTTCTATGGGGACATTTTCCAGATTACATAAGAAATTGTAGTTTTATACTTCTTTGAGTTGGTACCGGATGAGGCTTCAGTCCTGACAGTTTTTCTCCATCTAGACCTTCAGATTTTAACTCCTTTCTATCACATTTCTGTTACTTCTTAACTGCAGCTGAGGGGAGAAAAGAACAGCAACAAAAAAGCTTTGTATACATTTCCAGGAATGGTATTTGTCATTTACGGAAGGGTATTTTTGCAGTTCTGATTATGAATGTTTACTTTATTCACACATCGAGCAAACTATCCTCTTACACCATATGGTCAGGAGGTATACTGTTTCATACGTTCAGATGTCTGAAAGCTGTCTGGAAATGTATTTCCTACTTTCTGATATGGGAACATTTCAATAGGAGGGGGTTTAATTTGTTTTGAAATTTCAACTCTTGTTCTGCTCAGAAGCTAAAGTTGGAATCCATTAAGATGCATTTTAGTGCAGTTTCTATTCTCATCTTCCTTTTCTCAGTAACTGTGCAATTCACTTAGTACTTCATTACAACCAACAGCAATATGTATACATGGTGCACAAAATGAGCCATTTTGTTTTAAAACAGATTGCAGATGAAAGGAAACCATTCATTTCTTGCTTGCTAGCTGTAATTACTAGAGCGCTAATTACTCCAAATCACTGACATCCAGGGTCAATAAGGATGACAACAGGAACATCAAAGACAAGATGCACACATGCAATTACAAGTCTCTAAAACCAGAATGTAATATTATTTTATGGCTACCGTTTTTTTCAGTCAATGCTGAAAAATATTCAAGTTTGCTGAATGTTTACTATTATTTCCTTTGCAGTTTGACGGTGAGAACATGTATATGAGTATGACAGAGCCGAGCCAGGACTATGTGCCAGCCAGCCAGGTGGGTTAATTAATCTTCTCTGCCTTGTTTCAAATTGTAATTAAACAAATTCAAAGAGTTGCATTGCAAATGAGTGGCACTATCAGTAACTGCTGCAATCAGGAATAATCATAATTTATAAACAAAGCATTTAAGCCTTGTTTCCAGTTAATGAGATAGAGCTGATAAAACACCAGAGTTGGCGTTTGTTGAAAGATACTACCTTGTTTCCTCTCCAGAATGCAAGCAGCTGTTTTGCCAGCATGATCTTTTCTAAACAGTTGTTTTACCTTCAGGAAATAAAGTCTTTACAGGTGCAGGTTATTTGTTTATCTGACTGCAGACAAGTTAATCATTATAAGCTACACATGTCACAAATAGCTTTAATTATCACTCGTAGGCCAGTTGTAGTTGAAGAATTGCAGCTTTAACAGTAATTGTATGGCTGAGGAATGTTACCGATGTTGCACAATTAGCAGTGGGGTTAAGGCAATGCCTTGGTCTTCTGTAGCTTGCTGCCCAGAAGGTTTAATGTGATGTGGATTCTTTACAGGTATTTTTGAGTCCTTTCCCTTTTGGAGAACCCTACACACTAAATGCTGATATCAGGTGTATATTTAAAGATCTTCCAACTTTCCACTTGAACCCTAAAATACTACAGATTCTAAGAATGAAGGTTTTTAATTACTTCCTAAAAAGCAAAAATAATTTTGGAATTTTTGGTTTGTCTACCTGTAGCTACATCTATTATTTAGGGGAGAAATTTTCATTTACTTCACACGTTTTGGTCAGTTTAATTCCACGTTAGTAAGTGATGGTGATAGTGATGCAGGTCAGTTAAATTGTGTCAGAAATTGCCCTGAATAATCAGACTTGTGGTCTATGTCATGCAATATCTCAGGCTCAGCAGTGGCTAGTCTGATATACCTCTTTCTGACAGGACTAGTAGGATTATGTGAAGAGCTCTCATTAGGTGGGAAGTAAGTTTGCATGCATAGTAAATGTGTGTAGATGAGCAGGATGTAATTTAGGAATCAACAGCCTTGGAAAGTGACAGTACATTCAAAGCTAAATGTCTTCATGAAGTAGGGTTCTTCAGGTACACGGGTTCATTTGAGGGCAGGGAAGCAGGAGGCTGTGTGAGATGAGCTACATTGTTCAATCAAAAAGACTGTCTTTAAAATGTTCCACCATGTTGCTTCCCAGCCTTCTGTTGAAGTTACTCTGAAATACCTTTAGAGACCAACTGTACTTTGCATTTAGGATTTGTGTGTGATTGAACTTATTCAGCTAGGAACTCTCCAAGATCCAGAGGTAGTTTAGAATAGAACTGTTTGATTAAAAAATGAAAAATTATATTATTAATTTTTCTCTAACCATTAATCCAAAAACTGTACTGACAAGTTTTAGTATTACTATTAGATTAAAGCAGCCTAGTATCATCTCATTTATGCCTTAAGGGTTTTGAAGTGCAAGGGCTAATTGAATTTGTTTGAAACAGTAGAAATACAAACTCTGTGAATGATTGCTGTTATAAGGCAGCTGCTACCTTTCAGACAATCATTATGTCTGTCTTAAATAGTTTTGAATAAAGAATTGCAAATCTGTATTATACATCAGAATTATTTTTCTTCTGTTGATATTTTTGTGCTGTGTATGCATGTAGTTTAAATAATTTAAATGGCATATTGAAAAATTAAAAGTATAAGTTTTAATCTTTTATGCAGTTTCTACATGTGCTAACAAGGCCCAGATCCTCAGAGATATTTATGCATCTAACACTCACTGATTTCAGTGGAAGTAAGGTGCTTAAAGTACCTTTAAAGATCCAGGCCTAGATATTTTAAGTGCAAATGACGTTGTCTTCAAGGAAAAAGTCTATCAAATGAAACATTTCCAAATTCAAAGATGACAGAAAACCCTGAATGCTTACTAAGGACTGGAACCAAGAAAGACTTAAACAGACTTAAAATCTCGCTATGGCAAAGCCGAGCTCTTGGGTGTCTGGCTCCCAGGTGGAGTTCAAAACCCAGAGGCAGGTGTCAAAACCTTCTGTCCTTTGCTGGGGGATCCATGTGGCAAGAGGTAGCTCAACTGCCAGGCACAGTATTTTGAGTTACTACCAAAAGCACACCAGTCAAACAGCTTCCTGTGCCTGTTTGAGAGAAGCCGTCAGCCTTGGGCTGTCGCACCCTCCTTTCCCTTACTGTGATTCTCTCCTGGTGCTTACAACATTGCAGTGTTTTTTTAAGTGAATATATCTGAAAGCCTGTAATAATAGCAATATTTTTTTTAAAAAGGAGACAAAAAAACACCCAGTAGGAACAGGAAGCCGGGGTATGTTAGAAACCTGCCTCCCTCTTGTTTTGGCAAGAACCTGGGACTGCAAGAGAAGCTTTCCCAAACCTGCTCCTGACATAAGATAGCTGCTAGTCATTCCTCAAAGGAACTAAGCAGCTCTCCATGACAGTATTGGCAAGGTCTTCACCCACTGTAATGGGGCACCATTCCTATCTCAGGCATAAACATTTGGTGGTCAGCCAAAATTGGTGAACTGACTACCATTTCAACATCCAATCTGCTTGTTAAAACTGGAAAGAATATGATATTCGCTACTCTGAAAACAAAGCATGCAAGGCTGTGTAGCTTAATGGGGAGGGAGAGGAAGAGGAAAGGATGTGACTGTGTTTTCTGGTCCCTGTTTTCAGGACTGTTTGTTCATTTTCCTCTCACAGTTACTGGGTGTAAAACAAATAATCCCATAAAAAGAGATGAGAAAGTGTTCTCTCCCAGGTGAAAGCCTAGTCACTTTATCCATAGAGTTTTGTCCTGTGTCCATTTTGCATCTTTCTCATGAGCCTTACAGTTGCACGACCTCAGTGAGAAGAGTGCAGGCTCCTTCCCACCCTCAAAAACTTGGCTGTTGCCTTGCAGGATCAGAGATAAGGGTTTGAATCCTGTCAGAATGAGGAGTGAATTCATTTTTCCACTTTCCTTGATGGATGCACATCTGCTGTTAACTAAAATACGAATCCCACATGTTAGGAGATGCGCGGTCCTATCAGAAACTTTTATTCAAGCTCTGATCATGCTGACTGAGTCAGATGCGAGCATCATTTTCTAATTTCAGAGTCTGACACAGTTTATTTGGGAGGTAGGTTGGCAGACTGAGTCATGGTATGCAACACCAAAGACCAAGGGATTTCCATTAGACTGTCTTCAGGATTATGTGACTATAGAGGCAGGGTTTTGGGGATCCTGATGCATGCTGACATGCATTTCAGTTCTTTCTGCTTACTGCAAAGTGTTCATATCCAGAAAAACATACCCTTGTATTATTTTGAGGGTTTTAATCAATTTATCCCCTTTAGGCTAACATAAATAAAAGCTCAGCCATTGGACAGAAAAAATATAGTTTTGTTTCTTTTGCTATATAACATCAAACATCTGCATAGCTTGGTAATCCAAGACAAGTTGCCTCACAGCATCCCTCAACAATTATCATTTCTGTTCAATTTTCAAATCAGTACATGCTTTGGGACTTATAGACTAAGTTGCTAAGTAGCAACATATGGCTCACTACTGTTCCTGTGATGTTGCTGCAAGCAAATAGCATAATTCTATACTTGAAATGATTTTTACAGAAAGCCAGTGCTGGAACTGAGCCAGAAGTGGAAGTATACAGTAAAAATTAATGATATTCTTTTAAACTGTCCCAAAAGGCTGTTTGGCAATGTTGTCTCTGTGTACATTTTATATATACATGTAAGTACTGTATTTTTGGTTATGATATATGTAGTACAGGTCTCTGCACTGCAGGCATGTCTTAAATGAGTTATGCCAGCCATATTAACAAACATACATAGTAAAACTACATGACATTTTCACTACTAATTGCACTTCGATCTGAAAATATTTATCATTTTAAAATAAAACTATGCCAACTGCTCGGCATTTCAAATTCACACAAATATATTGTTTTCTCCCCACACTTATAATTGGAATCTCAGAGATGAATTGTACTTCATGTAATTCCTGCTCCTGTAATTTGTGGGCCATGCATAGCACAGTGTAAAATTATATTGTTTATTTTACATTTCTTCCTACTCACAATACAGAATGTAATTCAGGACTCTCTTGCAGAAAGCCTTGGCACTTTTGTAGCCTTCCTAAGGCCTGATAAATGTTAAGGTTAATGAATCCAGCTGCCAAATACCCTGCACAATCCAAAGGGAAGAGAGGAGAATTGGCCTGGAGCTGATGGTTTGGGGCAGTACCTCCATTGCCCCAGTGGGAAGAAAAGAGATACCCGAGGCAGAGGAAGGAATACTGTTTGCACAGAGGTGGTATTTTCCTCCCTCCCAGAGCTATGCCAGGGAGATCTGTATAAGATACGTATGCATGCTCTTTGATACAATGGGCACTGTGGGTATCAAAACTGTTTTGTCCTGTACAGCTCCAGGGTAAAATAGGGTAGAATGACATCCAGCAGAGAGATTTTTCATGTTAATAAGAAACTAAAGGGTTTCTCTGGCTTTTGTTGCCATATGCACATGGTCCTAGGTATATCCCTAACTTCTTTTTACATGTTTATACCTTAATGCTTAGGGTGTTAATGGGATAGCTATTACTTATGTGAAGTAGGGATGGATAAATGCTACATAATAGCTGCCCTCTCTTGCTCTGTATTAGTCCTTCCCTGTAGGTAGAATAGAATTTCAGGATACTGTATCCCATTCCTGCCAGAAGATATGGCTCTTCTTTATTGCCGCTCTTCTAGAGCCACAGTCAGCAGAGCAAGGCAGGAGTTGGCTGCCTTGGAAAGGATTCAGAAAAGGCAGCATTCTTAGATGGAGAATCACTAAGTGGTCCAAGTGTAGTCCCATGGGTACGTACTACCCTGAAGTCCAGGGCAATCCTGCTCAAAAGCTGGAAAGCTTTTGCTCATTAGTTGAAAGGCTGCTCTACAGTGAGAGGGCAATGCCACCTGGTCAGTCAGCTCACTGGCTGTAGTTCAGGGC